CAGTATTAAATGAATCTGTGACGTGGTGACCTATGGAACTCTATTTCCTCATAGGTAAAAAATGACCTTGAAGGCAGGCAGTGATCCCCATTCTTTTGGATGTGATAAGAGTAGTAAATGTTAAATAAAACTTTTGGGACTGACATAGTTACCAACTTTTTTATCAAGTAAGGACAATGAAAAAGGCTAAAAATTATGATCCAGTATAATTTCATAAAAAGGTTACTTTAACATCAAAAAGGAAGGGTAACTTCAGAATTTAAAACTGCACACATTGAGCTTTAATTAGAAAACAACCCTATACTGCCCACAGGTTTCTCATTTTCCGTGGACTGCTGAAAAGTTTATTACTAACTTTTCTCTGCAAACTAAGGCTCCTTTGCTTTGAATACATCAAGGCAAGTGCACCACTTGCAGATGCTGTGAATTTCCTTGAAGAGGTGGTTTCAGGGCTTTAAGGAACCCTGAGGAATTCAGGTGCAAAGGCTCTGGGTATCTTTCCTCAGTTTCCAATATTGATAGCTGTGTGGTGAATGCTAGCAGCCAGAAACTGTATCATTGCTTTAAAAAGAAGTGAAAAAGACAGACTGTAGCAAGTAGAATCACGGAAACTTGATGTTGGAATGTTTCTTAGCAATGATCTCATCCCTGTGGTTTTCACACTAGTGCTCCATGGAGTCTCAGCAGTTGCCTGAGCCAACAGACCTCTGTTTTAATTGTTTTAATAATTGAGTTTCTGATTAAGATACAGTTCAGTTGCTTAAAAAAATGTCTGAACACCACCAATTCAGTTCATCTCTAATTTAAAGGGGAAACTGAGGCTGAAAGAAGCCAAGGGATTTGCCTGAAGCCACTCATTCAGTTGGCAGAACTTTGTGACACACCACCAGTGGGGTGTGGGTAGGAAGAATTCTTCTGTCAAAACTTCATAGTGTCTGTTCCAAGATTTATCAATGGTTGACCCAAATCTTTCCACCCCTCTGTGTGGGTGTCAACCCTGACAGTTTCTCTTACAAAACTTTGGCTGGCTCCTTTTTACCCTGGACCCTGCACTTTGCCTGGCACACTCTTCCTACATGACAATAATGACAAATGCTTCACTGACAATCGTTGGAAACTAATTTTTAAACTCCAGGTCTGCATTTTTGCTCCCATTTGACTCTCACTGACAAAAGTCTCTTTGCCAGTATTTCTTTATATTTGAAGAGTACAGAGCTAATATTTATATGAATATCATTTTATAATTCTAAGAGCATGCTTATGTAAAAAATTTAAAAGGCATTTTATGAAAGATGTGCTTTTCTAAACATGTCTAGTGTATGAACTAAGATGACGTGGCATCTTCTCCCTCACCAGGGGTCTTCACAGCTGGTCACCCAGCAGGTGAGCAACACCCACACGTCAAGTTGACCACAGGCCGTGTGCCGCATTCACTTCGTAGAACGCCCCTCGGTGGCGAAATGCAGCATCTGATGCATCTGGACACGATTCAGCTGCAAGCAGCAGACAAGTGACTAACTCTATACAGCCTAATGCAGTGTTTTCCAGACCGTGGTTCCCATTCATTAGTGGGCCATGAAATCAATTCAGTGGGTTATGAAAGCAGCAACACACACACACA